TGAGGGTCTCATTTTCCACCATTAGTGAGGAATCACAAGTGAGACGATCACTCAAAGGTGAAGTAGAAGTGGTAGTGCTACAAGAAGTGTTAGTGGGAGCAACTAAAATGGGCTCATAAAAAGATTCATCAATAAGATCCCATGTTAGTCCTACATCACATGATGCAATCACTTGCTCCTTCTTGGCTTCCTCCACTTTGACTTGCTCGATGAAAGAGGAGTGAGCCTTTTCAAGCTTAGAGTGAGCTTTGCCAAGCTTTTCATGGGCTTCCATTAGCCTCTCATGAGTGGCATTGAGCTCATTAAAGGATTGCTCAAGAAATTTTACTTTCTTGTGTAATTCTTTGCACTCCTTTCTCTTTATCTCATTGTAAGTGTGCATTTGCTCACACATGTCCAAGAGTTCCTCCTTGGTGTATTCCTCCTCCTCCTCCTCCTCCTCATCATTATCATCATTCCTACAAGCATCACTTTCACATTCATCATCTTCACTCTCATCATATTTTATCTTGGTAGGCTTTGCCATGAGGCATGTCGATGAAGTGTCAAAGATGGAGGGCTTGTTGTTGATGGCGATGCTTGCTAGTGCTCTCTTGATAGATTTCTTGTCATCATCACTAGAGCTATCACTATTCGAAGAGCCATCACTATCTCATGTGATCACATAGCCTCCACCTTTCTTCTTTTTTTGGAAGGTTATTCTTTTTTCCTTCTTCTCCTTCTTTTCTTTTTATCCTTTTGAGTTTCTTCTTCTCATCCTCATCATTGTCACTATTGTAGGGACAATTTGCTACAACGTGATTGGGGCTCTTGCAATTGTAGCATCTTCTCACATATTCCTTGCTTTTGGTGTGATCTCTTCTCTTTCTTGCACCATAGCCCTTCTTCTTCATGAACTTTCCCATCTTGCGTACAAAAGATGGCCATAGCTTCATCATCAATATCACTAAGATCATCATCATCACTTGATTATTTCTTGGACTTGCCCTTGTTCTTAGATAATGATGAGCTAGCCTTGAATGCTATATTCTTCTTCTTCTTTTCTTCTTCTTCCTTCTTATCATCCTTGTCATCCCTTCCCTTTCCACACGGTATGTCTCTTGGGTTATGACATCACCTAGTACTTAGTTGGGGCTAATCTCCTTCAATCCTCATCTTATAATGAGCAATCTCAACATCTCAAATCTTGGAGGTAGGCACATTAAGAACCGATGAGAGACATCATCATCCTTGATCTTCTCTCCCAAAGCCTTCAAGTCATTGACAATTACTCGTAACCGATGGAACATCTCTGAAATGCTCTCATCATCCTTCATATTGAAGCTTGTCAACTTATCCTTGAGGATGTACAACTTGGCACTCTTTACCGCGGTGTGCCCACATATGTTTCCTCAATCTCCTCCACACCTCATTAGCTCTTTCACAATCCTTGATTTGCTCAAACACCTTGGAATCAATGGCATTATATATGGTGTTGAGAGCCATTGTATTGCATTGCTTGTTGGTCTTATCTTAGTTGGTGGGATTGTCAGGATCAATGATAGCATAGTCATTCTCGATCACTTTCCATACTTGATCATTGATTGAACCAAGATACATTCTTATCTTTCTCTTCCAATAATCATAGCATGTGCCATCAAAGAACGGTGGTTTGCCCCCCACATGGTTGAACACAACTTGAGCCATAATTTGACACCGAGGTTGTTAAGCCTTTAATCAAACGGTGACCATGGCTCCAATACCACTTGAAAGGTCCTAATATGGCTAGAGGAGGGATGAATAGCCTATTTAAAAATCTACAAATCAACTAGAGCAAATAGATTAGTATGACAAATAGCGAAATGTAAATTTGCTCTAGCTCTACAAGGGTTGCAAGCCACCTATCCAACAATTCGATTGCTAGTCACACAACTTGCTATGATACTACTCACTAAGAGCTCTCAACCTTGTTGCTCTAAAGAGCTCCACTAGATGAACTTAATTAGCAAAGCAAGCTCCCAATTCTAATTACACTAAAGAGCTTGCCACAACAAGTTTGCAAGAATATAAATGAGTGAGTAGGATAATTATACCGTCGTGTAGAGAAGTGAACCAATCACAAGATGAATATTAAACCAATCACCGGGAGAATACCAAATGGCAAGAGACAACCGATTTTCTCCTGAGATTCACATGCTTGCCAACACGCTACGTTCCCATTGTGTCGACCAACACTTGGTGGTTCGGCGGCTAAGAGGTGTTGCATAAACCTCGTCCATACAAATGGACACCGTAAGAACCTACCCGCAAGTGAGGTAACTCAATGACACGAGCAATCCACTAGAGTTATCTTTCGGCGCTCTGCCGGAGAAGGTACAAATCCCCTCACAATCACCGGAGATGGCCACGAACAATCACCAACTCATGCCAATCCTCCACCGCTGCACTAAACCGTCTAGGTGGTGGCAACCACCAAGAGCAACAAGCGAATCCCACAGCAAAACACGAATACCAAGTGTCTCTAGATGTAATCACTCAAGCAATGCACTTGGATTCTCTCCCAATCTCACAAAGATGATGAATCAATGATGGAGATGAGTGGGAGGACTTTGGCTAAGCTCACAAGGTTGCTATGTCAATGCAAATGGCCAAGAGACTGAGCTTGAGCCGGCCATGGGGCTTAAATAGAAGCCCCCACGAAATAGAGCCGTTGGGCTCTTCACTGCACTGAACACGGGCCGATCGGACGCTTCGGTCAGATTGACCGGACACTGGACCTCAGCGTCCGGTCCTCAGATCTTCGCCACGTGTCCCCTGCTTCAAACGCTGATCGCTCAATCTCAACGGTCAAGTGATGACCGGACGCGTCAGTTAGAAAATGACCGGACGCTGGACCCCAGCGTCCGGTCGTTTCCAGTAAGGTTCCAAACGTGAGATTTCATATCCGAACGCGTCCGGTCATGCTCGACCGGACTCACTCAGCGTTCGGTCACTCAATGTCTCCTCTGTGTTGCCCCGTCGGCACTAATGGGCGCACCTTGCCGCCCCGGTGTCACGGTCACTTTGGCGCCAGCGTCGGTCGAACCGAAACACACGCCCTCTGCGCCCATTGACCGGACGCTTGCGGTCCGGCGGTAGAGACCAGCGTCCGGTGGCACCGTCAGACTGTCCGCACTCTACGGGCGGACACTCCACCGGTGAAGCTACTAACCCTTACTCAAATATATCAACCACCAAGTGTATCACCTTGTGCACATGTGTTAGCATATTTTTTATAAACATTTTCAAGGGTGTTAGCACTCCACTAGATCCTAAATGCATATGCAATGAGTTAGAGCATCTAGTGGCACTTTGATAACCGCATTTCGATACGAGTTTCACTCCTCTTAATAGTGCGGCTATCGATCCTAAATGTGATCACACTCACTAAGTGTCTCGATCACTAACACAAAATGGCTCCTACTATTTATACATTTGCCTTGAGCCTTTTGTTTTTCTCTTTCTTCTTTTCCAAGTTTAAGCATTTAATCATCACCATGCCATCACCATCATCATGATCTTCACCATTGCTTCATCACTTGGAGTAGTGCTACCTATCTCATAATCACTTTGATAAACTAGGTTAGCACTTAAGGTTTCATCAATTAACCAAAACCAAACTAGAGCTTTCGGGACCGGGCCATGGCGCTCTTTTAGCATGGCCCAAAGCACGGCACGACACGAAATATTTTGAGCCATGCCGTCACGACACGAACACGAGGGCGTGTGCGTGCCTAGGATCTCGACACGACGGGCTACATGGCCCGGCCCGTATTTTAGGCCGTGCTTGGGCCCTTACACGACGCAAAATGGCGCGTACAAACATCTACAACTCTCTGAAGCAATTTCCTTGGCCTGGTGCCCCCTAGCGAGAAGAAGCTCACGGCGACCAAGTCCGTGGTGCTCTTCGCTCCGCCACCTCCCAGCCCCGATCTTGCCATCGAGGTGGTTATCGAGTTCCTCAGTGTGCCTGACATGGTGGTAGTCGCCCACTAGAGTGGCCAGCGCATGACAAGTTGCAAAAGCGTATGTTTCAAGTGCTTGAGACGTTCGGAGGTATGTTGCAAGCGTTTCTTATTAATATTGTAAAAGTAGATCAGGATGTCACGTACTCCTCCATACTAAAAAAATAAAAGTCGTTTTTAAAACAGCGACACGGTCTCCAAAAGTATAACTTTGACTTCTTGTTTTATAAAAATATTTATCGAAAAATGATATTATGTATATTTTTTTTGAAAGTATTTTCAAGACAAATCTATTTATATGATTTTCACATTTTCAAACTCAACAACTTAAAAGTTATTCATGATTTATATTTCCAATGTTTGACCTAAGCCTTGTCGAAAATGATTTTATTTTTTTAGTACGAAGGGTATATGTTGCAATGGCTATATACTTATGTTGCAAACATCTATTCTAAATGTTTCATCTGTTTTTTCAAACATAAGTTGTAAGTGTGTTTATCTAGATGTTGCATATGTTTGACACATACGTTGCAAGATTTTCATCTAGATGTTGCATATGCTTGCAATGACTTTCAAGTGTTTTGCAAGCGTTTTAGGCGTATGTTGCAAGTGCTTTATCCGGGCGTTGTAAAAATAGATTGGGCGTTACAAAGCGCGTGAGAAGCGGAGGAGGCGCGAAGCGGTCCCCATGTCTTGGTCTCTGGCGGCGGGTGGCGTCCAGACGGCTCGAGGCCTCGCGTGGGGCGCGCTAACGCAGGCATGAGCGGGGATGTCTTGGCGCGCGAGGTGGGCGTGGAGTGCAGGCGCTGCGAAAGCAGTGCCGCAGCGGCGTCCGGATGTTGTAAAGTTTTGTAATTTTTGGGTATGATATTCACAAAATGCAGTACTAGTCCTACAACGATGTACGTACGTATGGTGAAGACACACAAAAAAAATGTATTTGGCTGATGGCCAGCAGCCCACCAGCACTATGTAACCATGGCAATTTGAATGCTACCCAGTACCAGCGTGCGTGAGCTACCATGGCTTGAGGTCTCTCGGCGGGCCAGCCGTCCAGTTGAGGACCGTCTGTCCGTTCCTCAAGAAGGCATCGTCGCCGTGCGGGAGCTTGCGTGCGAGCCCGTTGAGTATCTGGTGGAACGCGTCGCCCGGCTGCGCGGGCTGCGGGAACAACACGGCGCGCTTCATCGCCGGACTCGCTAGGAGCCGCTGCTTCCTCAGCACCACCTCCACGGGGATGGACGTCAGGATGGTGTCCAGCCTCGGGACGTCGTCCTCGGCGATGAACACGCCGATGTCCGCCCACGGGATGGCGTCCGCGAAGGGCAGCACGATGTCGTCGGCGATGACCACCGGGATGCAGCCGAACACGACGGCCTCCACCAGCCGGGGGCTCCAGGGCGCCCAGCCCAGCGGGCACAGGCAGAACACCGCCCGCTGCATGTCCTGGTAGTAGGTTGTCGGGTGCACCGTGGAGATGTCGAACAGCGGGTTGCTCTTGAAGTTCTCCCACACGGAGGCGCGGGCGCCCCTGGCGTAGTATCCGCCCTTGGGGTCGTTGCCGGCGTCGTAGAAGAGGCCGCGGAAGTAGACGAAGATGGACCGCGGGGGTGGCCGGGGGGCAGAAGCTGCGCCTCCATCTTCCACGGCGGCGCGTACGGCGGGATGGTGATGGAGCCGTCCTTCAGGCACACGTGGTTCCGCTGCCCGAACGTCTGCACCAGCGTGGCGCGCCGGAGCACGGGCAGGATCCCGCGCGCCATGGCCTTCTCCTCCTGGAAATGGAAGCAGGCCCCGAAGTCGTGCGGCGTGACGAAGAAGTGGTCGGCGCCCTCGGACCTGTTCCAGTACGGCCAGCGCTCGGCGATCAGCCGGATCGCGCTGCGCATCATCCGCAGGGGAGTCGAAGGGCATGGGGTGGCCGGAGGCGGTCAGGTCGCAGGTCGTGTACACGGGCGCGTAGAACCAGTCCGCTTCCTCGGGGTCCAGGGTCCGGACGGCGCTGGAGAGGAGGGACCGGTGCACGAAGATCTCCGTCGCGAACATGTGCGTCAGGCAACGCGGGTCCTTCTCCACCGGCTCCGTGTTGTATTTCGCTGGGAGGTCGTACACGTAGACCTTGAGCTTGCCGACAGGGTCGTCTTCTAAAACGTCACCGCCAGTGCCTGCGTTTTATTGGGTACATAATGAAACCCTTGTTTGAAGCATGAGAATTTTATAGGATAGGAGAATACACCGTTTCTTTAGAGATTCCTACACTCAACAAGAAAACAAGCCAACCAGGGACACAAGGAACGAATCTAGGATAAATGATTATGGGGGCTAAAAGTTCATCTTTATTCTTTAACCTTCAGCCTCTTCTTTTTTAAAAGCAGTTATGCTAAAAATTCTTAGAAGGACTCTTAGGGGCTCCATGGGATCAGCGAGCCAGCGGCGGTAGGGGGCTTGAGCCCCCCCCCGGCCCTCCCCCAACCCTACCACTGGATCCGCAAGAACATTAGCTCTTCTGGCATAGGTTAGGTCATAATCAAACTTGTAGATGGACCATTAGTACAACCTCAGAAAGTCCGAGTTCAGAGCCAAATATGATGTGTTGCTCGTCGGATATCTCAAGGAGGAAGGATATGGCCTTTTTTTTTATAAAAGCTTCCACCCATGTAAATTTGAAATTTCAAGTCATCAGAAACTGGAAAATCTCAAATGCTTTTTGTTAGCCTATTGCCTTCACCATGTGTTCTTATCACGCATAGCCAACACCTACATTTCCTAAGAAAAACATTTTTTTTTGTCTTCCAATTTATGCGTACTGAATACTATAATGGAAGAATATAAACGTTTCCCCTTACTAGCACTGCCATCTTTAAGCTATTATTATATATATAATCAGTGCTAAGCACTCTAGGGCCAGAACTTAAGTTTCATACAGAAATGCATCACGGTCCCTACTCCCTTCAGACAAAAACTAGTCTGCATTTGAGTTTCATGACATCTTGAATGATTTACTGAATGGAGGAAAAGCACAACCAAAGAGAACCGCACCTGAGATCCTCTCTGTATGGTGGTCATGCATCAACTCCTGCGCGTCGGACCCATGGAAGAGCACTGCTGCAGTGGTGGCGGCAAGAATGGCGATGAGAAAGATCGACCTCATCTTCGTGATGCCCACAAGCAAGCTCTTGGCAGCACCTGTGACTCCTCCCCAAGCCTGCCCTTGTCTGGTCTCACATTGTCATGATCTAGGTAATCACTTAGTGTAGTTAAAGAAGAGATGAAAAGCAGGGTGGAAGCTTCTCTGCCAATTATCCTACCAAGAAGCGTTTGGTGAAGAGGTGAGATGTAGCTTTCCTGGGCTTCCTTCGTTCTTCCTCCTCCTTCCCTACACACTAACAGACATCACACATCAGGAACGACGACTATGGGCCATGTGTGTACTTCAAAGGGAGAAAGGGAGGAGCAAAGAGGGGGTAGGAAGGCTGCCCCCCTGCTGATATTTTAACATTTTCCCAATGCCTCACTCCTTTTTTCCTACTTTTCTTATATATATATATATATATATATATATATATATATATATATATATATATATATATATATATCATAAATCATTGCTAGCAGGTGGCTGAGCTGTAAAAGAAATTTCACAATTTTCTCGGTCTTTATTTATCTGGTGCTTTGTGTCAAATAGCCAGGATCCATGGATATGCCTACCAAATTTCTACATTTTATTACTCTAACAAATTTAATTTAATAGAAAAGGCTTTATTAGAACGAATCAATTGTTATTTTATTTTAACTTGGTTACGAGGACGTTAACTATTGTTTGCCAAGCAAATATTTCTCTACTTATTAGATACTCATGATTTCCTCCTGAATATTGTCACATAGTGGCAACAGAATTCTGGTTTATTTGGTAAAAGTACTTAATTATGTAAAGACTTGATTTCATTTTAGTGAATCGTTTGCCTTGCACTAACTTCCCTCATGTTGCATCCATGTCTTTCGTGTATTTGCGTCGAACCTTTTACAATACTACCGGAGTTCCAATGGAAGTGCTTTATAAGCATATTAGTGGAAAAGCTCTAATTTATGGTTTGTTTCAGGTGCTCATTGGAAAAATCACGACTTCTTGTTAGAATGACCTAGCACCTAGGGTGCTTAGGCTAAGAGGAATAGCATTTTTTATAAAGGAATAGCTTTTGGTCACTTGCTAAGGTTGCCATTTGTTATTTCAGTGAAAAGGTTGGGCTTTGTATATCCTTTTCCTCAGAGGGATGGTGGTATTGAAATGGCTAACATTATGTTGGATTTTGATTGGGCTTGGCCCATTTATTTCTTTAATATGTGAACTATGCACCTCAGGAAGCTAACTCATGTTACATGGAGTGAATAAAATAAACACAAGAGCAAGGCTCCAAGGCACTTTCTGAACCTTCATTTGGCTATAAAATGTGATAAAGATATAATTAGAATTGCAACTAATTTTTCCCTACTTCCGTTCACCAGTTCTGATCAGGAATTATAAATTCTCAGTGTTAGTTCAGGTAGTTACTTTTATGAGCTAATCCTCTCTTGAGGACATGAACTTGTAGTCTGTAGATGATTTACTAGCTCAATGTTAATTTCTCTTCTTTTTGCCTTTCATTATAATCTTGTTGGGTGGTGTAGACTCATATTTCTTCCATCTGAGGTGGATTTAATGTGAGGCTGAGGATTTTAGTTCAACGAGCTATTATAGCTTTTTATTGAAAAGAAGTATGTGCCAAAAATATTCAAAACCCTGATTTTATCGATCTATAATATATTTTTATTGAAAACAAGTATGGCCCAAAAATAATCAAAATCTTGACTTTGTTGCTTTTCTATGTAGAAGCATAATCTCATACCTTAAAAAGTTTGGGAAACAACCAGTAACCGGAGCACAACTCAAGAAGGAACTAATCCCTCTCACATTCCACAAGAATTCAGATTGTGAGTTAAATCTAGGATATGAGAATACCAATGTAGTTCATACCACGATGAGGACCACGCAGACCAGCTATCGCTCGACAGGTTCGTCAACAGCCCCTCCAGCCTTGGGGTCGACCAGAGGATCTCCCTGCGGGTGAGAGCGAGTTCTCGCTGGACACATGGGGTCAGTGACATTGTGACTTGATCTTTAATTCAATTTGAAGACTGATCTTGATGTATTCAGATTAAGGGGAAATATGTTTGTCTCGTTGCGTCACTTCTCAAGTTTTGTACACGCTATATTTGATCCATGTTGGTAGGATCATTTGGAACCCAGGCAGGGCTGCTAATGTTAGCATAAATCATTTCCTGTGAAGTGAAGTAATGAACGAGCGGACAGATAGCATTGTAGGAATGTGTAAATTTTTGTTTGGTGCAAAAAAAAAGTGCCAAGCGTTCATATTATAACTTGTTATGGATTTGATTCTATTCATGTTGTACACATAATTTCTTAATTGTTATATCATTTGAATATATTCTTTTTCCTCAATTAAGATATGTCTTACCATACACGCGTCAAGTGCCGCCGTGCATTTCCACCTAGTTAGTGGAAAAGCTCTAATTATGGTTTGTTTCAGGTGCTCATTGGAAAAATCTTGGCTTGTTGTTAGAATGACCTAGTACCTAGGGTACTTAGGCTAAGAGGAATACCTTTTTTAATAAAGGAATAGCTTTTGATCACTTGCTAAGGTTGCCATTTGTTATTTCAGTGAAAAGGTTGGGCTTTGTATATCCTTTTCCTCGGAGGGATGGTGGTATTGAAATGGCTAACATTATGTTGGATTTTGATTGGGCTTGGCCCATTTATTTTATTAAATTAGATGCTAAGGCCCATATTAAAGTACTAGGTGCAATAAGATTGGATTCCAAATGAAAAATTGACTAAATATTGACTCAATTAAATGGATGACTATTGCATGCACATGCTGTCAAGTTGAGAGAGAGATAAAGAGGCAAAAGGGTTTGCTACACTTTGCACGAGCGTTGAGCTGTGCCATGGTGTGAACAGCGGCGCACACAGACTTGCTATCGGTCAGTTTGCGACAACATGGTTTCACACCCCAAAATTTTAGTGTAAAAATAAAATTTATTTTAGAAATTTCTTAATTAATTTGACAGTTTTTTTCCATTCATGCGGTTTGCATTTGATCTTTATAAGTGTAAATGGTTTTAAGTATGTCTAGGAGGCGAATATCTCTCTCCAAGAAATTTTCTATCTTTTTTTTTTCTGAATTTAATTCCTTTACCTTGAGCTTAATCTTTTTATTTGAAGTTTCCATCAATCTTTTCATGAGTTCAAAATAATTTATTTCAGTTCTCATCGTTCCATCTATCTCCGAGTAATTTATCGTGGATTTTTTTTTGCGCTTTGGACTATTTTTTCATGATATAAATGGGTGAAGGGACTATAATGCCTAAAAGAGGGGTGGGTTTGTGAATAAGGCAACTTGAAAACTAATGCCCAACTAAAACTTACTTCCTCTGTTGGCTTCAAAAAAAAACTTACTTCCTATGTTCGAAATTCTAAGTCGGCCTATGTTTTCTAAGTATATTGTCGTTGCTATGCATCTATATATAGGCTATGTCTAGATATTTAATAAAAAATTATGTGTCTAGAAAAGTTAGAACGGTTTATAATTTGGAAGTGAAGGGAGTACTTGTCAAAATCTACCTAAGATACTATCTAGGAATGGAGTACTTATCAAAATCTATGTAAGATACTATCTAGACATGTACTACGATTTTGATAAGTGTTGCTGCTTCTAATGCAAAAGATTTTTGCACCCTAGGTTCGAACCTTATCAACTAACCTAGCGAGCTAAATTAGGAAAGATAAAGCACACACCAGGAATGCAAATAAATACCGAAACATAAATAAGTTAGAGATGCAAACTCCCGCATCAACTTTGCCGAGGTATTGAGAAGCTTGTGTTTCTAGTTCTCATTGGAGCCCATTGGAAAATTGCCTTCACAAGGGCCAAAGTCCCGGTCGGATAATTTCATAGATTGTCCATGGGCCTTTCCCACACACAAGTGGTTGTCCTCACACACCGCAGCTGCTCGCCATGCTCATGAGCGCTACCAAACATGCTCTTAATTAGTCACTTTGCTAGATATTGGTAGTGTGTCAGGAGCGTGCTAATTTTCTGGATTAAAATATACCATAATTAATAATTTTTCTAAACTTCTTAAACCTTATAGCACATCAGACAGCATGCATCATCGATGATGAGGTCAGAAAGCCAGTTGGCAAGACCTATAGGAAAACAACTGAACTGATAGAGCACGAGGATCAAGTAGCCCATATTGCAGGATTGCTGCTTGCATTGAGAGTTGAGAGGGAGGTTCAGGACGATCCAGATCCGACAAGGGTAATGGGTATTAGGTTCTTTGGACCATTTAGGAGTGGATCCAGTGGGTGTTTACTTTACCAATTGAATCAAATGTACCTAGAGCTTCCTTCGGGAGTAGGAGACAGAGAGAGAGGGAGACGTAGGAGCATCTGACCGTCGGAAGAGCTCCCTGCCTTCGTTGGTTCGTCGGTGAAGATCTGCGCTAGGGCAGCGACGGGCGATGAAGGAGTGGTGCAGTGAAGTGGTGTTGGCGCAGTGCCATGGCGGCGGCGGTGCTTCCCGTCACTGGCTGCGCCCCTCTGTTAGATCGGAGTAGGGTTTTTCCGATGGGGCGTATGGCTCAGGCCAACCTCGTACTGAGAGCCGCCGGCCCCCACCTCTATTTAATACGCAGTGTGACGGGGGCCCGCCAGCCATAGATGGACTGGGTACCCCCGATCAGGGCGCGAGGTCAAGGCCCAAGTGGCCGTTGGGCCACTGTGGTTGGGAGATCAAACTAACATTCTCCCCCTTGATCTCAACTCATACTTTAACTTTAAACTTTGAATTTAATCCCTTTCACTTTTATTTGTTCAATCACAGATTAGTGCATAGAGCATAATTCATCGTCACGGTCAATTGCCGATAGACTTAACAACTACAATACATGTCTCTGTTCTGAAACAGATTCTTTAACTTTTGGGCCCTTTATTGTCCGGAAATCATAGGCTTTCCCATAAATCCATGTCGACTGTGTGTTCTCTGAACACACTGGGTGGTAAGCCTTTTGTACGTGGATCTACAAGCACTT